AACTAAATAAACAGAACAGATGTTAATCTGATGGAGCCCATGTAGAACTAGAACAGTACTGAAATATAAAGAGATACAAGAACTACAATATAACCCCAATATTGTAGGTACTTAAAACCTCCCTTCTTGAGTAATCTCACTCAAACCTAAACTCTGAACAATTTTCTATCCCCATCCTTTCCCACTCACTCTAGTTATAACAAATCTCCAATAACTTTTCTGACTAATTACTAATATAAACTTAATGCCCAAATAATATTCCTAGAACTATCCTAATAGCATTTGTATCACAACCGCATTATGCATGCACTCGTACAATTTTCAAAGACGATGTCAATTGATGTTTAGTAAAATGGTGTGCGTACCTATTGAAACTCCAAGCTGGAAAACTGCGGACAATCCAGATTCTATCTCCATGGGATCGATTATATCCATGCTTGGGTCCATAATAGAAATAAATTCTAGGATAGAAGCAGCTTTGCGTTTCAAGTTTGGGGATGAGGTCTTCAAAATCTCAACTAGGCTAGAAACAACAACAGCATCCAACACATCTTTCCTAAAAAGTTGTTAAAAGAAGATTCATATTAGTATCTAACTGATCAAAAATAATGATTGACCAGCAAGATTCACACTCAACCTGGTAGAAGCTTCAGAATTCCTTTCTGAATGTTGTCCCCCTCGAGATCCGTTCAGTGGTCCATCGTAAAACTGGAATGTATGAACACTCTTAGTAAGTCAATTCCAAGATTCAAGGTCTTACAACTTGATACATGAAACACAAAACAAAACCTTTGATTTCATTTCTTTACTAGGGTCCAAGATCCGAGAAAGTATATCGAGGGTCTACAAGACAGGGATGACGACTCGAGTCAGTACCAAACCAAACTACTTCATTCTTCACAAATCTAAAGTAGACAAAATTACCTTCTCCATCACATTTTCAGGAATACTTGAGAGCTTTAAAATACTGAGCAAAGGACTAAGTGCACCTTCATTTTCAATTGTCTGGCAAACAACATTGCTATGCCAACACCAGCAAAATTATACCATAGAAAACAAACAATCACTTTATGATAAACAATCTATATACTATTGAAAGTGGTGAGTGTTAGACGAACACGACTCTCCACAATGGTATGATATTGTCCACTTTGAGCATAAGCTCTCATGGCTTTGTTTTGGGTTTCCCCAAAAGGCCTCAAACCAATGGAGAGTGTATTCTTAGATTATAAACCCATGACCATTCCCTAAATTAACCAATGTGGGACACTTTCATCTAACACCTCCCCTCGAACAAAGTACGCCTCTCCTTAATCGAGGCTCGACTCCTTTGGAGTCTTAGTCATTTTTTACTGCCTTCGAGGAGACTTGACTCCTTTTTTCTTTTTAGAGTCCTTTGTTCGATATTCGAGGATTTGTCAATCTATTGGCATGGTTAAGTTTAGGGCATGGCTCTGATACCATGTTAGACGAACACGACTCTCCACAATGGTATGATATTGTCCACTTTGAGCATAAGCTTTCATGGCTTTGCTTTGGGCTTCCCCAAAAGGCCTCAAACCAATGGAGAGAGTATTCTTAGATTATAAACCCATGACCAATGTGGATCTAATAGTGAGAACTTGGAATGACATAACTCAAGTTTTACCTGATTGACAGTCTCTCCAGGGCTTGAATTGAAGCCCATTTGACTGAATTATTCATACTATCCAAAAGCTTTACTAAATGTTTGATTGCTCCAGCTTCCTTGAATGAAACACGCATGTGTTCATTGATAGATGCATCAGCAATTAACTCTGCAGTTCTCACTTTGGCATTATCATCCTCTAGTTCGAGGACCAAGACTAGTCGAGCCACACCGTCTCTCCAAGGTAAGAGTGTAAGATGATTACTGGTAGATGATTCAGATTGAGTGTCCTTTAAATCTTCAAGTTCTATGGCACCTATTCTAGCCAGAAAATGTTGCTGTGACCGTCCAATAATTGCATTAATCTTGCCTTCTTCTATGTTTGCATTATTATCAACATTCAATCCGAGGAGTAATTCAGAGGCACCAAATCTTGAAGGTTTTTTGGAAGATCGTTCAATTTCTGTGCCATCAGGCAAACTTGGCCATGAATGCAGGCCTGGTTTGAAGGATTTATAGGCAGCAGCACCAAGTACTGGTACTGGAACCAGTCCTTCCTCTATCACAAGAATTCTATAATATTCATCTTTACAAAGTTCTAGCAACGCATTTCTTGCTTCCTTTCTCACAGTTTTTGAGCTGTCTGCCTCAGCTTTTAACTGATACGCCTGAGGCCACAGAGCAAAAGTCAACACTATGTTTACTTCCAAACAGCCATTTTATATAAGCTGAAGAATGCACAGAACAAAAGAAAAAAAGTTGTACCAGTTTAGGAATTAAGCCTGATTCAACAATAACCCCATGGTTACATGGGCTCAAAGTAAGATTTGCTATAACCCCTCCAGCTGCTTCCTTCACCTTCATGTCCTCATCATCAAGATTCTTAATGAGTAATGGCAGAATATCAGTATTTGCAATCTTTTTTCTGAGTTTTTCGTCTACCGACAAATTCCACAGAACACATATGCTTTGCTCCTTCACCTGCACAGCTACAGCTGCATTCAGATATGGCTCAATTACAAGCTGCCAAAAGACAAACGTAAAAGAAAAACACACCTCAGGAGTCAAGGACGGTCGACTAAGCAAGGCAGTTATCTCTTCAATTGCTCCACTTTCGGCAACTGAATCTCGGAATAAGTTCACCATAGAAATTGACCGTAGAAGGCCAGCAGCTGCTTCACATGTAGAGGTTGACTCTGACCTAAGAAGATTTACTGTTAGATTTAAGCATCCAGGAAACTGCATGATGGCATCTATGTGCTTCTTCCCTCCAAGGGAATATTTCCATAAAGCTACGATTGCTTGTTCTCTATCTAGAGGATCATGATCTAAGCCGAGCATCCGGATAAACAATGCCACATAACTGTGTCCAACACTAGAAGAATCATTTGGTACGTCTCTGATGTCCTGAGAGTACAATTACAGCATATCACCATTAACATAAATTAGCAAACACCAAGAACCTTGAAAAATAAGCGAAACACGAGAATGTAGGAAAAATCAGTCCAGATTTTTCCAATTTAACACTGTATTTTGGTCAACAATCTATGGCTTTCATGCTGATAATAAACATTCAACCTAAATTCCATACGGCACCTTGCATACAATCACAACTAATTCAGACAGTACAATGACCATTTCAAAGAAAAAGAAAGTTAAGCCATAAATAAACAGAATTGCAAGCACTTTTTAGAGTGGATTACAAATCCAAAATACAAACAAAGAAACTAAACATAAAACGATGCCCTGGCAAAAATAATAAACATGAGGTTTAGTTACAAAATGCTCACTGATTGCAGCTATTTAATTCCTGAATTTTAGAGAGTTCAAATGATGTTCTTGAACTTTCAATTTTGTTTTATGAACTTTCTGCTATTAAAATTGTTACTTATAAGTGATGATTTACTATAACATGTTAATGGTGGCGTCAAAAAAGTAGGTCTAATAGATAATAGACAAAATGAATATTGTACCTTAACAGTCTAATCAAACACTACGTGAAAATCAAAGTATAATTAGAACCAAAGTTCATAGTGACACTTAATTTTTGGGATTAAATATGCATAACCAAGTTGAGTAAACTTGTTATTTAACTCGAAATGAATCAGTCCAGTTCAAACTGAAAAAGAAGGAAAACTCAAATTCTAAAACAAACAGGCGACAATCGCAGATGAGCAAAACGCAGATAGGATATGAAGTAGCAGAAACCTACGGAAGTAGCAGACTGCTGCTGTGTAGAATCAAGAGCACCACCACCATCGCTGCTAACCCTCCAGCGTACAACGCGTTTACAGGAAAATTCTGTGCTGAAACGAAGACGAAAGAGAAGGAGCGATGGGTCTCTGGGTTTAGGAGTTCCCATAGCTCCAACTGCAAAAATCTTCATGCGAGTACTCGAGAGTGCGTGTTGTCGGAAGGAAACGGGGAAGTGGAAATTGGAGGGTATTGAAATTGCGGCCAACATTTTGGGCAAAAAATCATGAGAAGAAGAAGAAGAAGAAGAAGGAACGACGGCAGCGCAGAAGAGAGAAAAACCAAGGGAATTTACTAGAAATGAAGTGCAGCGAGGAGTATGAGTGTTGTCTGGTTTTGGAGATGATATTTAATAGATTTATCGCCTATTTTTAACTCAAAAATAATAATATAAAAGTATTTGCCCATTTAATAATTTTACAAAAAAAAGAAAAAAAAAACAATTTCCTTCTTTGTGGTTAATTGTTCAAATTAGGTTGGGTGGAAACTTATGGATAGGGAACTCGAGGAACAATCGGTACGGCTCTAGTTATCATCGGTGGATATGCTTTTTTTTCTTTTAAAGTGGACCTTTCTCTACTACTATTGGTATCGACTACACTGTATGCTTGTACTTTTACTAATGCTTATGCATTAAATTCACTCCCGATCATCCTTGTGGAGACTGGTTCCTTTATTTCTTTTATGACGAGATGTGCAATGAACTATTTCATGCTAAAAAAAAGTGTAAATTTTTCTGAGTAGGGTGAAAAATCTTCTTTCAACACATATTCCACATCGATAGAGCAAGATTCTTGGAATGTCCAAATCCTTAGTTTTATAGTCAACCTGCACATGGCACATATTTGGATCGGATCAACCAGTCGAATGAGATACTTTTTCATGTTTGCAAATCGAGTAAGAATATATTTGGCTAAGCCTAAATAATAAAGATAAAAAGTCCAAACTAACCTTGAAAAACACAACATTATAATTTATTATCATACATCATTTATAAGTCATCATACACTTTATATACTATTTAGTATATCAATAACATGGAAAGGTTATTTAAAGATATTACTCATACACTTGAAAAACATTTACACAGGGCTTTTTTTTTTTTTTTTTTTTTTTCACATTTACAGAGGTCCCTTGGCCAAGAAATTTTAATTCAAAAACATTTTTCATTTTTGATGCAATACATAAAAGTCCTCGAAGAAACAGCTCAACTAATTAGGCATCCCGCTCGCATTCACAACAAAATTGGAGACTTCAACTTCCTCAAGCTAAGAATTACAAACATTTTAAACGTCTTTCTTTTCAGCACTCTGCAACTAAGATTGCAGCTAGGATTCACTAATTAAAGATTTTAACTCATCTCGAAATGTGGGAACTTTGCTTGCTTCAACAGCCATTACTATTCCCATTAACTGGTAACCTTTTAGCTGCAAGAAAAAACAACACATGAAAAACGAAATTATGAATACATTTTACAGTGCCTTCAATACCATACATCATTGAATCATAACAAGGAAACGCTAAAAACAAATCCGAAAACACATGACCTGGCCATCTTTGCAATTGGGTACAATGCAAGCATCCAACAACAATGTCTTACAACTATGAACACTATTCGGATTAGTCGTGTACAAGTTTAATACTTGCCTCGTTAGTTGTTTGTGGCTGGACGTGCAAGGGAAAGCAGAAGGACCATGAACACAACTGAAATAAGTTTTTGGTTAAGAAAACCATTGTTAAGACGGTTTGAAGAGAATCTAAGAAGCAACAATGGTACAGGGAAGCTGCATCAAAATACCTTGTGAAATATTTCATCTTCTGCCTTTACATATATAATTGACTCTTCTGTTTCAGGAGTCGCCTTTTTCTTATGATTTGTATTCTTGAGCTGTAGTTTGTACAACACACAACGGTCATATGAAAGAAATAATTGTTGAAAAGTAGAAAAGGTACTAAACGTTGGCATACCTTGTAAATTTTACTCACTAAGATATGCAATTTGAAGCGGAAGGAATCCTGGAGCTCTTTAGTTGGCTTAAGAAAAAACAGACAATAAATGTTTTCAATACATTCTCATGGATACTTGAGAAGAAGAATGTACAAATGATATTATATCTAACCTCGTCCTCAATAGCCCATGATATTTCATCAAAAAGGGCATCATAAAGTGGTGGCAGAAGTTGAGGAGGAAGATTCACAATTCTCTGAGAGACTATGAGACCAACACTGGATGCTTGCTCCTCCAGAAGTTGTTTCAAGTCATTCTTTATATCCTTGTCCGGGCAAACTTTGAGGAGATACTCCTTCAGCTCCATTATAGATCTACTGTCCTAGTGAGACAAAATTTCCACAACAGTTTACCGATAAAGACGATTAAAAGGTTACAAAACTGGCACAGAGTCATAAGCTTTGACACTGCAACTGAATAGGTTGTTCGTGTTGAATAACTTTCTATGTATTCCCGTTAAAATAGACATGAGAATTATAAGGATGGCAGCTCTGTCATGAAGCTGCAAATTGCTCAAGTTTCCTATCTCAAACCTAATTACACTAAGGCTAAGCACATAATTACTTTGACAGTGGTTCAGATTGCCATGCTGCATGAACCAACTACTAGAAGACTACAGGCAGTTAGAGTGAGAATTCAGTATTGGCTCGCACTTCTATAGTGCTTACCTTATATCTTGCCAAGTTAAGGGCTGTGATAAAAGAGAATACTCCATTATCTTCATCTCCCTCAACTTTGACAACAGAACCTACTGTGGTTTGTCCTAATATTAAATCAGAAAATCCACTTATATCCCACTGTGTGTCATCTAGGTAGTTTTGCAGCAATGTCTTCACCCCATGAAAATCATCAGGTTTCGGATCAAAAAAGGCAAAGTCTGCTTGAACTTCCTACAAGAAACGATCAACAAAGTTCATATATGATAATACATATGAATGAATAAGAAAATATGAACCATATAAGGTAAGAAAAAGTTCAAGATTTAAGTTACAAACAGTCTTACTTCAAACTCTTCATCGCTGGAAGAAGAGTCAGATGATTCACTCTGGGGCTCAGGACTATTCCTAATAAAAGCATTACCTACAATTAGAACAAAACGCAATAATAATATTCACTAAAAACTCAGCAGTATCAATACCAGCGCACTAAGAAATGAACTCACTAGTTCAAGGAAAGAAAATCTACCCAAAGTAGGTTAATACCTTCATGTTTAGGGTGAGATTTCATTAATTTTGACTTCGAAATTTGATTCCTCACCATACAAGAAGCACGAGCAAATGAGGAAAAAGTTAAAGGACGAGTTCCCAGCAGCTGGCGCCGCTTTGTTGGCTTTCGAGGCATCTTTAAAAATTGAACAAGCTGATCATCATATAGTTTATGTCATGTCAAATACATATTGTAATACACGCCAGGGTTCTGGGAAATACTATGTAAGACTCCCAGTTTAGGAACAGAAAAGTTATCAACATAAGACGACAGTAAACAAATTAAACTAATTCGTTGGTTGATAAGCACAAAGAGAAAATCAATCACGCATACGATAACCCAAATAGAAATTGCCTAAACTGACATAGATTTATAATTCAGAATCGTCCAATATAAGCAATTTGGAGAGAGGATAAAACGATTGTTAGAGAGAATCTCGGGAGGTGAGGAAATATCATGAGGAATGAAAAACAGAATAAGGGAGCTGGAGCAGAAGTATTTTCTCTTTTTACTTTTTAAAAAAAGAAACCTTCGGATGACCTTGGTCGAAGTTCTATCTAATACTCGAATACCCCTGATTTTGTCCCTCGAGATTTGCTCCAAGTATCGCCAAGGTGTTCGCCCTATTAGATCATTCACCTAATTTCCTCAGCAATTCTAGTTTCCTAACTTAATTTGATTTGAATTGAGATTAGTCAGAGCTAGGCAGATGGGACTTATAGGGGGAGGAGTGCTGGGGTGAAAAATTATTGGGGAGGCCACCTTCAACCCATTCAACCCCAGAAATATTTCATCATCCTATCTTTCTTATCTTAACTCCATTTTAGATGGTTCAAAGTTTGTTGTTCTTATGGTGCTGCGCTCTGCCCTGAAATTGTAAAATATTAAATTCAAGACTCTAAAACCCATTACACAATAGATACTACAAGAATCCATCTCAATGGTAAAACATCCCTACCTCTTTAACAGATTGTAGGTCCAGAACTACACGCCACATATGTGATAGAGTACTCCAATCTAAACGATACATAAAGTTATAGATGAGGATTGGGAGAATACCAGTAGAAAATCAGTTCAAACTGGTAAGAGCGAGGGAGGCGGCGACTGCACAATACGGGCGGCAGAGAGGCGGCGGCACTGAGCTGCTGAACGGAAGGGAGGAGAAGCCGGCGTGAAGAAGAATGGAACACGTGAGAGCCGGAGGAAGAAGACAGAGAGGGTACTAGGGCTTCCTTATTTTCCTATTTCTGTTTTTTTCTTTTTTCTTTTTTTTTTTTTTTTTTTTTTTTTTTTTTTTTTTTTTTTTTTTTTTTTTTTTTGTTATTTTAATAAGATGGGCTGAACTGATTTGATGGACTATTGCGAATATATTGGGCTCACTTTTTTTCTTTTTCTCTTCAGACTTTTCTATTTAATGATATATTTAAATGTAATTATCTTTAGGAAAAATAATAGATTTTTAGCCCTAAATTGGCATCAATGTTCACCCGTAAAATTCTTTTAGATTAATGTTATCATTTTTACCCTAACATACTAATTATTTACGTATCCTCGGATGATTTTTACGGTACATAAATTATTAGAATATCATCGTGAAACATTGGCTACAGAGGAGAAAATTCACTGAAGAGGAAGGGGGTGATATCTAAAAAGGTCAGAGGAGACGAATTGATTTGAGTTGGGTCGAGTCGAGTCGGACCCAATCCCACATCCAAATTCCAATAGTTCAGTACAAATAAGTCATGCTGGAAGTCACTTCATACTTGCAAAATCCCAATAGACAAGGACTACAACCTAACATCTGCATGCGCCCTAGTACACCCAACCGACCACAAAGTCATGTGGCCCAAGAGTCTAAGCCATCCACCTAAGATCGACTCGCATCCTCGACTCTCCTTGTCACATACTTGACTTGATCTAAGTTGATGCCTCAAACAACTTATACATGACCTCTGCGCAGCTTGCGTTGCGTTCAACCAACTTCATTCTACTAAGTGGCTTTAGTTGGCTTGATTGGCTCATTTTTACCGTTTTCCAACATTAGTATCCACGTGATGACATGAATATTGATTTCAATTAAGTATTTGAGTCACGAACCTACTAAATGGATTGTTTGCTTAAGAAAATTTAGGAGAAGGCTTAATATGACATAATAAGATTATGTTGAAATTTGGTGATTATTAGATTATGATAATGGGCTAAACCAAGTGTATGTGTAAAATGACTAAAATGCCCCTATAATTATGTATCATTGGCTTATGACCAAAGTGACCTATAAATGGCATTGAATTTGATGAGTAGTCTTGTGTCATGATTTCAACGGATTATACAAAGTTACAAGCCAATGAAATATGTTGAGGTTTTAAACCAAGATTTGGGGTGGTATATAACCAAATTAACACGGTGAGAATTCTAAGATGTATTCAAGACCTTAAAATACTCAAAATACTATGAAAATTTATATTAAACTCGGTTTATGATATCAAGGCAAGTATGCAAGATCTTGATATTAAGATAACTTTGAAATATGAACCAAGAGGAAAAGTACGTAACTACCCCTCAAGATACTTTATACATGCGAAGTGACATGATGCTTGTGAAAGATTTATACATGCGAAGAAATGTTTAGGACTCATATGAATTCTTAGTCGTGCTTCAAGACTTAACAAAGAAATCTTAGAACTAAAACCTAAGATATCCTAGAGACCTCCCAATGTGCAGTGCAACATGATCCTATGACACAGACAAAGGAAGCATGAAGCCTTGGGTGTAGGTACAAAGACTATGTCACAAGGAACACTTTAAGCCTCAGACATAAGTTAGGATTGAGTTGTTCACTTAGCATAGACCCTCACAAGTCTCTCAAAGGGAGTGTCTAAAAGATAAGAACTCAAAACTTCAGACCAAGGTCAAAACTAGGTACTAAAAGGGATTAACCTTAAGGGTGTGGAAAAAATCTCTTCTTCTGCTAACCGTTAGAAATAGGGACTCTCACAATTGTATGATATTGTCCATTATACGCTCTCATGGCTTTGTTTTGAGCTTTCCCAAAAAGCCTTACACTAATGGACAGAGTATTCATTAATTATAAACTAATGATTATTCCCTCCGTTAGCGGAGGTGAGAGTTTCAACAAATAATAAGTACAATTAAAATTAATTTATTAAAAAAATAATTAATTAATTTTATATCCGACCATAAAGGACAAAAGGATAATCATACATGCAATATTTTAAATATAAAAAAAAATATATTCAAATAAGAAATTATGGGTGGTTAGAGAAATTGCAAGATTTAAATGAGATTTAAATATATAAAATATATATTTAATATATAATATATTATTTAATTATAACATAAACGATAATATAATAAGGGTTGAGATGGGCCGATGATTGAAGCCCATTAATGATGGGGGAGGGCGTGTTCTTGTGGGCCGGGCCTTTGCTTCCTTGTTGTACATACTTCCATTTTCATTTTAAAACATTATTCATTTCATATCCCAACAAATATTTTTAATGAATCATTATCATTCTTATGCTACATTCCAATTCAATTTTGTACCCACACCACTATTAGAACCACATTATTAAATTATATGTTCCAAGCTTACTTTCATATAATCTTTATTATATTTATCAAACAACGTGACATTTTATTTTTTTAGATACTTCTCCCTTTAATTAAAATTATCCGTTTATTTTTTAACCATTTATTATTTTATATAATTTTTTTTAGTACAACAATGAGCTAAAATTGATAAGTCGAGCATTTTTCGATCCAGTAATTCATTAATAATTTGTAAAATATAATATAATTTAATAAATTAATATGAAGTAAAAATAATAATAATAATAATAATAGAGGGGATGTTTATCGATAAAATAAAATAATCTTATTGATGAATTTAAAAAAAGAAAAAGAAAAGGAAACATATCACATCATTGGATCGCACACAAAAAGAAATTGATACGAAATGTGAAAGATGCAATTGAGCGACAAGGTGTGAGCCACTTGGACAACAATCCACTTCCTATCTCTATCAAACTTACTCTTTAAATCCAGAGGACTCACGAACAATATTCTCTACATTGTTATGATATTACGTACTTTGAGTATAAGTTTTCATTGTTTTATTTTTTATTTTTTCAAAACGTCTTATACCAATGGATATAGTATCTTTCCTTTATATGCTCGTGATCTTCACTATGAAACTTCAATAATCATCCACAATAAATGCTTACCCTAATTAAAAATTACTATCTCACTTTTAGAAGCGAGATGTAGATAAAATAACAATGTCACGAAAGATGTAGAAGAATGTCGGAGTCATCGAGTATTCAATCAAAATTTCAAATTCTAAATATGGGACGTTTAAATGCAATGTCTCAACTATTAAGTTATGTTGAATTGTTAGACATTTGTTTCTCTTTCCCGTTTCCAAATATCATACCTATCATAAATTTTCAACACTTCAAAATCATGATTTTGATATTTAACCTAATTTTTATTGACCTAATATAATGAGATCTCTAAGAGAAGCTTGGTTGGGTATATTAAATTCCTATGATTTTAAAACTTTGCAATATTGCAAATATATCAATAATATTCTCCATAAATTTGCTTATTTATATTATATAATATATTATATTTTAGTTTACGTAGTAAATTATTGTCTCAAAATCTAAATTTTATATTATTACTTCCCGAACACACAAATTTAGCTCACTACTGTAATCGATATTACTATCGTTTCAAACATGTTGAACACAAAAGAGAACAAACATGGACCACCCCACATCCTTCACACACGTTTGTGGTGGAGTTTTTTTAGTATAGCATCAATAATATATGTTTTTTTTTTCATAATATCTCTATTCATTTGTAGCCGTAAGGTTGTTTCGATCCTCCTTTTCTTATATGACATTTCATACGACATCATTTTCATCTTAATCATCTACTCGATGAGAGAAAATTAATAGACAGTCGTTTCATTAACCCACCAAAATGACCGACATCCCGCTTTTTCATATAAAATTATTGTAACTATCTTATTTTATTATTATTTTTTTTTTTTGCTGTTATATGCATGTCATGTCATGACATATTTAAAATCATTTCATCTTAAAAATTTATCATAGACTTATACATTCATAAATATTTTATTTTAAAAGTTTAAAAATCATAGAAAAAAATTGGTATAGAAATTTTATGATGATAAGAGAGTTGTGTACGACTAACCGAAGGTCTCTCGTGTGGAAGATCTTGTGTCGAAGTCAATCTTAAGTAGCCCATCTTCGTCCTCACAGTGATGTCCGGGTTTATATCAATATTTCTTGACAAGCGCTCGAGAAAATATAAAAATGCAACATTTAAAAAATTAGGACATCTTCCTTAAAATTGGGTTTAACTTACCTTTAAAAAAAAATCCAAAATAATATAAATGTGACGTGTCAAATCTTTATTTGAAATAAAAATGTCAAATCATAAAATTTATTATGGATTCATAAATGATAATGAAAACTAAATTAATTAAAGTCAAAATATAGAAATTATAGTTTAGCCGTAACAAAAGAAAATATATATATAAAAAAAACAATGGTTTGACTTTTTATTTATTCCCCGTCTTAGAGAGAGAAAGTCAAGAAACGGCAATTATAATAAAATGTCAATTATTAAATTGTTATATAGCCGTAGGTTTGGGATAGCCTTGCATTTGTATCTCAATTATTAACATCCACGGCGGCGGGGGCGCCGGATTTTGACTTAAATCCTCATCATCCCATGGTCCTATTAAATTATTTGCTCACTTATTTTTACCCAATTTTCAATTTTTATTTTCTTCTTTTTCCTTTTCCTAAATCAAAAATTTATTCAATTTAACTATTATTTTAATTTCATAAACAATTTTAGAAGGGTCTAAAGAGCTTGAGAATTCGTTGACTTTTTTTTTCTAAAGTCAAAATAAGGTTACCCACGGTTCTTTTAAGATTATTATGAAAATTAATAATATTTAACGTTTATAACTAAAGTTATATTTGACACGATTTTAGTATTTAATGTAATATAGATGGTGAATAGGTAAAATATTTTAATAATAAATAAAAAAAAACCATCCAACCGAACATAATTTTGTTAGGTTGGTTCCATTCAAATTGTTTTGACCATCAACTAACACGAAATTGTATGAAAATTATATTATTTTAATATTTAATATTAAATTATTTACTTTC